CCTCCCACCTCCCTCTCCACCCGATCCCTCTGGGTCTTCCCAGTGCACCAGGCCCGAGCACTTGTCTCATGCACCCAACCTGGGCTGGTGATCTGTTTCACCCTAGATAATATACGTGTTTCGATGCTGTTCTCTTGAAACATCCCACCCTCGCCTTCTCCCAGAGTCCACAAGTCTGTTCTATACATCGGAGTCTCTTTTTCTGTTTTGCATATAGGGTTATCGTTACCATCTTTCTAAATTCCATATATATGTGTTAGTATACTGTAATGGTCTTTATCTTTCTGGCTTACTTCGCTCTGTATAATGGGCTCCAGTTTCATCCATCTCATTAGAACTGATTCAAATGAATTCTTTTTAATGGCTGAGTAATATTCCATGGTGTATATGTACCACAGCTTCCTCATCCATTCGTCTGCTGATGGGCATCTAGGTTGCTTCCATGTCCTGGCTATTATAAACAGTGCTGTGATGAACATTGGGGTGCACGTGTCTCTTTCAGATCTGGTTTCCTCGGTGTGTATGCCCAGAAGTGGGATTGCTGGGTCATATGGCAGTTCTATTTCCAGCTTTTTAAGAAATCTCCACACTGTTTTCCATAGTGGCTGTACTAATTTGCATTCCCACCAACAGTGTAAGAGGGTTCCCTTTTCTCCACACCCTCTCCAGCATTTATTGCTTGTAGACTTTTGGATAGCAGCCATCCTGACTGGTGTGTAATGGTACCTCATTGTGGTTTTGATTTGCATTTCTCTGATAATTAGTGATGTTGAGCATCTTTTCATGTGTTTGTTAGCCATCTGTATGTCTTCCTTGGAGAAATGTCTGTTCAGTTCTTTGGCCCATTTTTTGATTGGGTCATTTATTTTTCTGGAGTTGAGCTGGAGGAGTTGCTTGTATATTTTTGAGATTAATCCTTTGTCTGTTGCTTCGTTTGCTATTATTTTCTCCCAATCTGAGGGCTGTCTTTTCACCTTGCTTATAGTTTCCTTTGTTGTGCAAAAGCTTTTAAGTTTCATTAGGTCCCATTTGTTTATTTTTGCTTTTATTTCTAAAATTCTGGGATGTGGGTCATAGAGGATCCTGCTGTGATTTATGTCGGAGAGTGTTTTGCCTATGTTCTCCTCTAGGAGTTTTATAGTTTCTAGTCTTACGTTTAGATCTTTAATCCATTTTGAGTTTATTTTTGTGTATGGTGTTAGAAAGTGTTCTAGTTTCATTCTTTTATAGGTGGTTGACCAGTTTTCCCAGCACCACTTGTTAAAGAGGTTGTCTTTTTTCCATTGTATATCCTTGCCTCCTTTGTCAAAGATAAGGTGACCATAGGTTCGTGGATTTATCTCTGGGCTTTCTATTCTGTTCCATTGATCTATATTTCTGTCTTTGTGCCAGTACCATACTGTCTTGATGACTGTGGATTTGTAGTATAGTCTGAAGTCAGGCAGATTGATTCCTCCAGTTCCATTCTTCTTTCTCAGGATTACTTTGGCTATTCAAGGTTTTTTGTATTTTCATACAAATTGTGAAATTATTCATTCTAGTTCTGTGAAAAATACCGTTGGTAGTTTGATAGGGATTGCATTGAATCTGTAGATTGCTTTGGGTAGTATAGCCATTTTGACAATATTGATTCTTCCAATCCATGAACATGGTATATTTCTCTATCTGTATGTGTCCTCTTTGATTTCTTTCATCAGTGTTTTATAGTTTTCTATGTATAGGTCTTTTGTTTCTTTAGGTAGATATACTCCTAAGTATTTTATTCTTTTTGTTGCAATGGTGAATGGTATTGTTTCCTTAATTTCTCTTTCTGTTTTCTCATTGTTAGTGTATAGGAATGCAAGAGATTTCTGTGTGTTAATTTTATATCCTGCAACTTTACTGTATTCGTTGATTAGCTCTAGTAATTTTCTGGTAGAGTCTTTAGGATTTTCTATGTAGAGGATCATGTCATCTGCAAACAGTGAGAGTTTCACTTCTTCTTTTCCTATCTGGATTCCTTTTATTTCTTTTTCTGCTCTGATTGCTGTGGCCAAAACTTCCAAAACTATGTTGAATAGTAGTGGTGAGAGTGGGCACCCTTGTCTTATTCCTGATTTCAGGGGAAATGCTTTCAATTTTTCACCATTGAGGGTGATGCTTGCTGTGGGTTTGTCATATATAGCTTTTATTATGTTGAGGTATGTTCCTTCTATTCCTGCTTTCTGGAGAGTTTTAATCATAAATGGATGTTGAATTTTGTCAAAGGCTTTTTCTGCATCTATTGAGATAATCATATGGTTTTTATCTTTCAATTTGTTAATGTGGTGTATTACATTGATTGATTTGCGGATATTAAAGAATCCTTGCATTCCTGGGATAAAGCCCACTTGGTCATGATGTATGATAAAATATATATTTTTAAACTGACACTATCTTATATATCATGTGTCATGTATAATATGTATCCTTGCTGTTATGGGTAGAATGCGAAAGGAGAAGAACTGTTACAAATTTATGGCTGGAAAAACACTCCTCAAGTGTAAACTTATTGCCTACAGGCTCAAATTCCTCAGAAAACAAACACAAATAAGAAGCTGAAACCGTTTACAAAGTTGCAAAACCCATGAGCAGTTTTTTTTCATTTATTTTTATTAATTGGAGGCTAATTACTTTACAATATTGTAGTGGTTTTTGTCATACGTTGACATGAATCAGCCATGGATTTATATGTATTCCCCGAGCAGTTTTAAAGCACAAATTAAATGAAGAACAATCCGTATTCATTTGGCCTCCACCAGTACTTACCTCTCATCTTTGTGTTTATGAGCCTGAGGAGGGAATGCCAGTTAAAGCCAGGATCCCTTGCTCAAACTGAACTACATTGCCCCTTCGGAGTGTCCTTTGTAACACATTAGCTTTCATAAATTCTATTTGAAGTGGGATAGCAAGCATATCACCAGTTCTTCTCCTAATAGTTTCATCAGAAGGAAAAATAACAGACAATGCAACGTAAAGGGTTAATAGTGTTTTGACCTGAAGATACCATAAAACTTAATAACACACACTTTAAGATTTAGATTGACCACCAAAAGTTTTCTATGTCCATTGAGCAATCCACTCAGGTTAAAATATCATAACTTTCCAGTTGTGTAGATGTGTGTACATATATAAAGACCACCATGGCCCCATAGGGTGAATCTTATGAAGCTTAACATTCCTGGCGAGTTAAACACACAACCTTCTGATCACTTTTTGTCAGTTTACTGTGGCACGTAAGAGCCAAACTGTAGGTAACTTTTATATGGTGGCAATCTATCCCAATTAAGAAAGCAATGATCTTGGATGCAAGCACAAATGAAGAATATAAGGCAGAAAACTAAAGAAGGGTATTACAATGACTGACCCGGAAGGCTACTTGTCCCTCTCCATTCCCACCCTTATTCATGCCCCTTTTCCCACCCATTTGTTGTTTTTCTCGCAAGTATATCATGACTTGTAACAGATTGTTTTTAATTTAAATAACCCCACCTAAAAGCCTGAAACACTAAAAGATGTAAAAAAAGTCACCATCTACAATCAAAGTGACTACCTTCAAGGAAGATTACACCTCATGTTCTACATAAGGAACCATTTGTGGTAACAAGAATACTGCTACAACATGATCTGAAGTCTGAAGAAAATATGACTATTATTAAGAAGGACACTGATTTCTCCCTTTAAAATAAACTGTACTCTGAGGTGACAACATCCTTCCATATATCAGCTTCATCATCCACCCATTCACTCAACTACCTACCCACCCAGCCACTCATCCTTCCATCCACCCATTTATATTTTCATTCTTCTATCCATTTATGTAACAATGATCAATTAAGTGGCATTATCCATTGGGAAATGAACCAGGGACTAGTAAGGCAAATGCTGGGCTTCCCAGGAGGCACCCAGTGGTCAAGAATCTGCCTGACAACGCAGGAAGTGCAACAGATGCTGGGTGATCCCTGGGTCGGGAAGATCCCCTGCAAGAGGAAATGGCAACCCACTCCAGTATTCTTGCCTGGAGAGTCCCATGGATGGAGGAGCCTGGTGTGCTACAGTTCATGGGATCCCAAAGAGGGATTGAGCACGCACACACTCAAGGCAAAGATGAATAAAATAACACTCCTAATTTCAAGTTTCTTAGAACCTCAGAAAAACGGCAGACATCCAAATCAAGAATTACAGCACATGTGGTAAGTGTCATAATAGGCATATTTGGTACTTGAGAAAGACATTGGAAACAATACTTACATTTACCTGACTGACTGGGGTTGAAGATGAAAGAAATGAGAAAGAATAAAAATATCACTGATATACTAGATAGAATTTGGATTAGGCAGAGGAATCTAAACTGCAAACACCAGGCATACAAAAGCAGGGATAAGGTAGAAAAAGTAGATTGTTTGAAATGGCTAAACGATAGGGTGTGTTGAGGAGTGGGAGGTGACCAGTGGCTGGATCTCAGAGGAACTTGTCAACATACAGCATTTTTGGACTTGAGCTTATCACACTAGGATTTCTTAAACTTGAGTAACATATGGCTGCTTTTTAAAAGGAAAATAGCTCTTGTGACTTCCATTGTTTACTTCAATTATTTTTACCCACATTCTAACTTACATAGGCATACATGTAAAACCAAGAACAAACTCCTTATGTACAAAGCTCTTATATAACCAAAACAAAATTGTAAGTTAAAAACACACAGAATTGTAAAATGATTGCAATTCAAAGTTGGAGGGATGCTGCTTTCTTTTTTGGTTAAAGCACTGCTCTGATGTGAACGTAGTCTTGACTGCTCGGGTGTGGGAGTTTTGACTTTGTCGTGACTCCATCAACTCTGACGTGCGCCACTGCAGGACCAATTTGCTCACCACACCTCTCTCTTTAAACCATAGGGAGGTCTTTGTGCGTTTATATGCTATGAGCAATGCCATATGGATTTAAGACATTAAGTTCTTCTATGTCTTTTTTCCCTTTCTTAGAACAATGAACGTAGTGTCACCAGATGCTAATAAGATTGTTGGCACTGACTGCAAAGAAGGTGCTGACATCTTGTGACATCACTGTGTCAGAAGAATATATACTTGTATTTCTGCTTCTCTGGAATATATACATTTCTTATCTGGAATATACACCTATATGTATGCTGATATTTATGTTTTGGCTTATTATTAAAAAGTGTACAACTGGTAAACTCATAAAGAATTCTAGGACCCCTGAGATCAAGGACATGGAAATGTCTTTGAAAAATACTGACTGAGACAAAAAAGGGGCCACTAAGGGTTTTAAGCAAGGGAGAAATGTGGATGGATTTCCTTCTGGAACGCTCGCTCTGTGAAGAGCTAGAAAACTTTAAACAGCCTAGGCGAAAGGTGATGAAGAATTTTGCAGCCGCCGTGGGGAACAGGGAGGAAAGGATAGATTTGAGAGTGGCAGGAGTATAATTGACAGGACCTGGTCTCAGATTGGATGTGGGAGGGAAGGGAAATTGAAAATTTGAAGATCGTTCTCAGATTTCTAGCACGATTTCCTGGGTAGAAGGGGATAGCATTGGCTAATGGAGGGAATGTTAGAGATGGGGTAGGCTGTGGGTGGAAAACAATGAGACTGGCTTTGGAAATATTCCATGTGAAATGCCACAGTGCTGATGGAGAAGACAAAGTGAAATGTGAGCTTGGAGCCTGGGGCAGGGACCGGGCTGTGGTCGAGGTTTGGTCGCCATGGGCATACCTGTGGTCCTCGTGGCTTTGGACGTGTTTAAGATTCCTAAGGGGGAGCACAGGAGTTGGAAGAAAGCCAAAGATGACCTCACAGGGGACAGTGACACTTCAGGGTGGCCGGATGGAAGTACAGCTCCAGAGCCCAATATGGTCCAGCCGGAGAGACAAGGAGGCCGAGGAGGGTGGGTGTCATTGGCGACCACTGAAGGCATTGAAGGCCATGTTTTACCTGAATTACCATTTCTGAGGGTCTCCCCTGGTCTCTCCTGAAATGCAGGAAACAGAGGTTTGATCCCTAGGTTGGGAAGATGCCCTGGAGAAGGAAATGGCAACCCACTCCAGTACTCTTGCCTGGGAAATCCCACGGACACAGGCTTCTCTGCCCATTTCTGAATCTTTGTTTTCTCACCCCCAAAGAGGGAAATGATTATTTCACAGTTGTACTGAGAAGTATGTGAGCACAAATGTCAACAACACTTAACATGGCTCATATTCTAGCATGTATTAATAAGCATCGCTATAAAACAGAATTCCTTTTACATCATCCTCATGCTTATTCCTTTTTTTCATTTTCCTGGGAGAATTGTTGAATATAACATGTTAGTGTCATGGAGATTGTGGCAATATCATGGATTTGTTCAAGTGTCCAAATTCTTATCATCTAAAAATTAACTGGTAAGTCAACCATGCAGGTCAATGAGGAAGGTTTGGGAAAAGAATCAGTGAAACTTGCCCAGGGTGGGAGTCCTACTGATAATCCTTGCCACACCCTGGCAGGAGACTCTAGTGGCCAAGACTTGAGTTTTAGAGAAAATATTAGAGCAAACTTGGGAGAGCTACTCTTCAGGTTCCACGGGGCTCTGTTGCGTTAGCCCTTTGACTTCAGTCCTGTCCCTGACCTTGAAGCTTTCTATCCTAAACCACCTATGAACTGGCTCCTGCATTTAGACTGAACTGGATCTAACTGACCATCATTTGTACATGCTGAACTAGAGGTCTTGGAATCACAGTTCACAGGCCAAATTTGGCCCTCACCTGTTTATGTAAGTAAAGTCTCATTGCCATGCCCATTTATTTGCTTATTGTACAAGAGGGCTTCCCTATTGGCTCAGTGGGAAATAATCCACCTATCAGTGAGGAGAGGCAAGAGACTCAGGTTTGATCCCTGAGTCCGGAAGATGTGCTGGAGAAGGAAATGTCAACCCCCTCCAGTATTCTTGCCTGGGAAATCCCATGGACAGGAGACTGGCAGGCTACAGTCCACGGGGTCTCAAAGAATCAGATGCAACTTAGCCACTAAACAGCAATGATAGAGACCACCTGAGCCACAAAATCTAAAATATTTCCTGTTTGGCCCTTTACAGTAAAGGCACTCAGACCTGTGTGTTATTCTCTCTAGATGTGTGGTTTGCCATCTTTTAGAAACAAAACGTATGTTGGGTACTTCCTCAATGCCTGTGGACTTGCCACTGAGAGCAGAGTGAGGAGCTAAAGAGGCTTCTATCCTCAAGGACCACACAGTCTAGACCAATAACTCCCAGCCGACTGGGGCATAAGAGTCTCTTAAACCCTTTCTCTCTTTGGTCTCTACTAGGAGGATGACATTAGGGAACTAAGAGTAAACAAAAAGAAACTCTCTACAGAAGACATTTCTCATTTATGTCTAAAGTTTGTCTTGATTCAAATCTCCCTGGCATGGAGGTTTCAATGGTGGGAATAATTCATTAAAGGAAGAAAAATACCCTTTTCTCTCACCTTCCTCAAAATTCTTGGCTGAGCACCACCATGCTCCCTGGCTTTGAGAGTTCAGAGCTACTTTTTGTTTAAGACAAGTTGTGTATCAAAATTAAGGGGGGGAAAAAAAAGCATTTCTTCTTTTCATAAAACCTTTCATGTTTTATTATAAAGTCTCTTGGTTGTACTGTGCATCTGAGGCTGCTTATAAACTCTTGGAAATGTGTAAAGTGTTCTCTTTTGTTTGACTATAATAGTAGCATATTGGAAATTACAAGTAGAAAATTGTAATTGGGATGTGGGTGCAAAGGCAGCTGAGTTCAGATAAAGCCTTTTCCCAAGATAATGAGATGTGTATGAATGTGAAATTCCATGCAAATGGGGCTCAGGTTTGTGGGCATCTGGGTTCTTTTATTTACACTAAAAAGTCACAGCAGAAGAGGCTGTGTTGATAGATCAGCTCAAGTCTCCAGAAAATGAATAATGTATATACTTTCAGATAATTCAATTAGTGCAAAAAGATACTAAATATACAGTGACACAACAACTTGCGATTTTCAAACTACTTCCCATGGTTCTGTGCATCTCTGAATTTATAGCAACAAATATAAAATTAGGGATTTTTTAAAACTTGATTTAAACTGTTATTATGCAATGTTTAAAGTTAATTTGTGAATAAAAATTTTAATGCATATAGAAAAAATAAGAAAAACATGATAGTCTAAAGAAGTTATATTCAAAACAGCACATTTATTATATTTTCACATTCACTTAGCAGAGTATGGGAGAGGTCTTATAAATTAAACATAAGGATATTATCTAATTCTATCTTCTCTTCATTTTTTCCCTTCCCTTTACCTCCAAATTAGATTTCTTAGTTATCTTCAATTTCACCTTGAAATACAAATATTTATTATTACATTATTATTATTTGTACTTTGACAATTCAAGTTTCTAACCCATAAAAAATTGAGTTCACATTAAGATTGCTCTCTGTACTAATGTTCTACATTGGGTAGAAAAATCCCCCACTTAGCAGGAGTTTTATAAAAGGGTGGGGAAACGAAGCTAGAGTGAAAACCGCATTTCCCACCTTCTCTGCACCTTGAGTGTCCACTGCATCATCCTCTTGCCTCTGATGCTCAGAACTCACAGGTCCGCCATTAGCACTTGCCCTCCTTGGCTTTGTACCTTGAACTAGTCTTACCGAGTTGCTCATCACCCAGTGTTTCTGATTTCACTCAGTCCTGGGCCCTGTGATGCCTACACTTGTACCTTCTCGCTCCTCTTTGAGTCACAGTGAAAAAGTGAAGGGGAAGGAGGTAGTCATGTCTGATTTTGCAACCTCATGGACTGTAGCCCACCAGGCTCCTCTGTCCGTGGGATTCTCCAGGCAAGAGTACTAGAGTGGGTTACCCTTTCCATCACAGGACATGGGGCAAACCTTGGTGAGAAGCCATCTATCCTCTCCTCTTCTCCAAAATTTTCCTCCATACCTGCTCTCCTCCCTGCAGCAATGATTTTATTTTTGTGGTTCAGTCACCAGGTCATGTCCCACTCTTTGTGATCCCATGGAGTGTAGCATGCCAAGCCTCCCTGTCCCTCACTATCTCCTGGAGTTTGCCCAAGTTCATGTCCATTGAACCAGTGATGCCATTCAACCATCTCATCCTCTTTCACCCCCCATTTCCCTGCTTTCAATCTTTCCCAGCATCAGGGTCTCTTCCAGTGAGTCAACTCTTTGCATTAGGTGGCCAAGTATTGGAACCTCATAGAACCTGGGTGTCTCACATTACTGGCAGATTCTTTACCATCTGAGCCTCCAGGGAAGCTCGGTGGCTCTATACTCTTCTCCTAAGGCACAGAGTTGTCTCTGTGGCTCCCTTTTCAATCATACATCCATTTTTCTATTTCTCTCCTGCATCCTTGACTGAGGATGAATGATTGTGTTGATGCTAACACTAATTATGACAGTGAAGGTTATCTATAGAGCTCATACTGTGTTCTAGGTGTTGGGGGGAGTTATTGACATTCAGATAATTCTTTTAACTTCCCCATCTTCCACTAAGGTTGATATAATTAGACTCAATTTCAAGTTAAGGGAACTGAGGCTTAGAAGAGTGTTCTTCCAAATTTGCCTATGCAGCTGAAGTCAGAACCAATGTCTGTGTCTACTCCAGGCTCACGCATTCAGCTCAGCGCTGTACTGTTAACACTTCATTTCCCAGCTGCAAACTCTTCCTTAAACTCTACGCACACACTCTGGATTTCCAACCTGTACTTGAATTCTCCATCCCATTTTCTTTGTCTGGAGAAACCTCTGTGATCTGTGTTCATGGTCTCCTTTCTGTCCTGCATAGGCACTTCACCTAAGGCTGCGTCATTTCATGTGTGTTTTGTATCCTTTTCAACTACTGTTTTTGTTGCATAATTATTATAGACTTTTTTTGTGATGATACAGTCTTGAGTGTGGATGGAAATATAAAGAAATGCAAAATACTATTCTTGATCCCTGGTTGGGAAGACAAAACTTTCACATTAAATATAAACTAAGGGCTTCCCTGGCAGCTCAGATGGTTAAGTGTCTGCCTGCAATGAGGGAGA